TGACTTCTGATAGGAACTCACTGAGATGGGCCGAAGTTACGAAAGCCGTGCCGGGCTCAGCGATCTCGATAGGGCCTGGGTGCGTATTCCTAAACCACACCGGACGTCGGTGATCCTCACCAGGTCGTAGAGCCGAATTCAAACCGAACTCTTACGGATCCATCACTACCAAGACTAACTACCAGAACACTTACCCGGGTATTCCTCCTGTTGGTTGTTTCCTCGAGAGTCGTCGGAACGCAAGTGGGGCTGTGTCTCCGCTTATTTAGGCTCTGCTTAGTGTGACCAGATCGGACGATGATGATAATCCCGCTTTGGGTGGTCGGGTTTATTGGGCGATGATTATCGGCAATCGATAACTTCGTCGAATAAATGTGACCGGGGGCTGTTGGCTTTGGGCGCGCGTTTGAATAATAAAAGGCCAGTACTTGGAATGTTCTTTTTAAGCTTTAATGTGAAAGTTGAATTTTATATTTGTGACGGTGGGTCGTCACACTCCTTCCCCGTTTAGGAGGCCTTGGCTCCCGTGGTCGTCACGCTGACGTTGCCACTTCGTTTTCTACCACAGGTTTCAGTTCATTGATGTATGCTCTGTGTGTTTTTCCAGTCGCCGTATGTCTTATTGTCGCTATCACTATTAAAACGAAACCCGTCACTTTGAAAGGGCCCTCGTATTTCGTTGCTAACTTTGCTGCAAACCCAATAGCTGCCTTTGAAAATGGGTGTTGTCGTTCCCATACGAGATCTCCTACTTTGGGTTTCCAGTCTCTTTTCCGTAGGTTGTATGATCTGGCTTGGTCTTGTGCTGCTTTTCCTATGCTCCGATGTGCTAGTTTGCTCGTTTCTATCATGCGTTGCAACCTTGCCTCTATCGTTTCCTTGACCATTTCGGATCCAGGTGTCGTTTCGTTATACAGGCTCCCAGGTAGGGAGCCTGTTGTATCCTGTTGAATATGACCTGCTGCTATTGATGGCCATTGCTATTTCGAGTAGCCAGTCGTTCCACCGTGTGTGTTCGGTTCCGGAGAATTGAGCCATCATTGTTTTTATTGTCCTATTTGCCCTCTCGGCTGGGTTCTCTTGCGGGGTGTATGGCGCTGTTATCTGATGGACGATTCCCCATTTCTGTAACTGTGCCTTAAGCTTATTACTCGTAAACTGTACCCCGTTGTCCGAGATGAGTTTTATCGGTGTACCATATCGTGTAAGGATCTGTTCCCGTAAAACTTTTAATACAATGTCTGTTGCTCGAACATCACTAGAAGCATGTTATTGCCGTGACTAGACCTTGGTAGTGGACCAACGAAGTCTATGCAGAGTGTTTCCCAGGGTGCTTTTGCTATTTCTTTAGCATTTTCCCTGCTGCTGTGAGGTCTTGTACCGTTGGCATGTTTCACAGCGATGTACGCACTGTTGTATGTCTCTGTGCATCCCTTGCCAATAGTACGGTGCCATTACCCGATGCTTCGTTTTCCTAACTCCTAGGTAGCCTGCTATAGCTTCGCTGTGGTTTTCTCGTAGCACCCGTTCTCTTTGGTTCTTTGCCACGCATAGCTTCCATGGTTGTGTATCCTCGTCTGTGGCCCATGACGATAGATGTCTGTATAGTTTTCCTTCTATTAGTGCGTAATCTGGCCATGTTTCTGGTTCTTTTTCTATTGCAAGGAGTTTCTGTTTTATCCACTCGTCCTCCTCTACTTCGGCTCCGTGTATTTCTTCCTCGAGCATTCGGGATAATGAGTCTACCACGACGTTAAGCTTGCCTTTGCGATAGCGTACCTCGAATGAGTATGGCTGCATTGCCAATGCCCATCTGGCAATCCGTCCTGAAGGGCTCTCGATCGAGTTAAGCCATTTAAGTGCTTGGTGGTCCGTGGTACATCCTCATTTTCTGGATGCCCCAGTGTATTGCCAGGCACTCTTTTTCGACAGCCGAGTAGTTTTGTTCTGTTTTTGTCAGCTTCCGACTGGCATATGTACTGCTTCTAGTCCGTAATTACTGGCGTCCGTCTGAAGTACAAAGGTTATTTCAAAGTCCGGACAAGCCAGGACTGGGGCTTCGGTTAGGACTTTCTTTAGGTTTTTGGTCGCCTCTTCTGTCTCCTCGGTCCATTTGAACTTTGTCCCCTTCTTGACCAGGTTGTACAGTGGTTGCGCTAGTTCAGTGAAGTTCGGGACGAATCTTCTGTACCAGGAGGCCACCCCTAGGAAGCTGTGTACTTGCTTCGTTGTCTGTGGGCTTGGCATGTTGAGGATCTTTTCTGGATCCATGTGTATACCTCTTGCGCTGATTACATGTCCTAGGTATTTCAGTTCTTCCTTAAAGAAGTAGCATTTCTCTGTGTTGATCTTTAGATTTGCCTTGCGGAGTCTCCTCATTACCTCCTGTAGCTTCTCCAGGTGTTCCCGATTCTTTCGTCCGATTATCACTATGTCATCCAGGTATGCGCTCTTTGGAACGTCGCTGGTGCTGTGTGTTATCTGAAGGGCATTACTTTCCACTGAAACGGTCCCCGTCCTTGTACCGTAAAGGCAGTGTTCTGTTTACTGTCTTCGTCCATCGGTATCTGCCAGTAGCCACTTTTCAGATCCAGTGTGGTTATGTATTTTGCCTCGCGGAGTTGGTTGAGAATGTAAGCCTCCATTCTTTGGTTTTCTTTTCCACGATCACCACTGGCGAACTGTAGGCGGAGTGCGAGGGTTCTATGGGGTTCTGTGCTATAAGTTCGTCGACTAGTTTGTTTATTATTGACTGCATTGCTGGGTTTCGAGGGTAGTACCTCTGTTTAATTGGGCGGTCGTGCTTCATGAAAATTTTGTGGCTTGCAATGTGACTTACTCCTTTGATTTGGCTCTTCATCTCTAACTCCCTTTTGAGTGTCTCTTGGATCTGTGGGTCTGTTAAATCCCCAGTTTCTAGTGATCCGATGCCGTGTCTCTTGTGTTTCTTGCTTCTGCGTTGGTTCCTCTTCTTCTTTTTAATTTTCGCTGTGATGCCTCCACATTCTAGTGTAGCGTTGCATTGTTTTAAGAAGTCTATTCCCAAGAGTAGGTCTCCGATGACCTCGTCGAGGACTAATAGTGTTTGTTTGTGTCCCGAGTTGTATTGGTACTTCTAGTGCCTCTGTGACCGTTCTGTTTGTTCCGTTTGCAAGTCTTATGGCTTCAATTACTTGTTTTCTTTTTCCATGTCTATCTATTCTGCTGGCTAGTTCTTGGCCGATAAAACTCCGTGTGGCCCCTGTGTCAATTGCACCGCGAATTCTTGTGCTGCCTATGATTACTTGTGCTAGTAGACGTCGACCGTTCAATTTTATTGATGTTGCGGGTGTGGTGTGTGCCCTGGGTGCCCGCTCTGATCCCATGGGCGTCTTCCGTTTCCCGACGTTTCATTCCTGCGGCAGCAATGAATTGTTCGTATTCCATCCTGTCCTCATACCCAGCAAAACAGTCTTGGTTGGTTATTGCATCCGCGTGCTGTGTGTCCCACTGCTTTGCACAGCGAGCATCTATTGTTCATGTCCCAAGATCTTGTGACGCCTCTGTTAAGTATTGGTTGTGTTTCTTGGAGTCTCCACTGATTCCTTGGTGGTCTCCAGTAACTTCCTGGTGGTTGGTGTCCCAAGGGAGTTTCCGGTGTTTGTTGCGTTGTCTGCTGTGCTGTGTACCCATGTGGTTGTAGTGCCTCGAATTCCTCGGCTAGTCGGAGGTATACCGCTAGGGTTTGGCATTCTCCACGTTTTGCATATCGCTTGAACTCCACTCGACTGTTTCGGTACACCCACTCCAGTTTTTTTTCTTCTGTGAGCGTAGTGAATCGCATGATTTTCCTGAGCTCTAGCGCATATTCCTTCGCTGGCTCGTTCTCGCCCTGGTGTCTATGTGTGATGCTTTCCATAGCTTTCTCCTCATGATCCGCTGGCCTGTAATTCTCTAGGAATTCTTTAAGGAAGGTGCTCCATAACGACATCGCGTTTGGGTGGTTGTGCCACCAATTCAAGGCACAGCCTCAGAGAAGTATGACCAGTGCTCCTGCTGCATGATCTAGATCTATGCCGTATGCCTCTGCCAATTCATCTGTTCTACCTATGAACTTTTTCGGGTTTCTAGTTCCTTCGTGTTCTTCTCCCCAACTTCATATTACTTCCATCGTGGCCACTATATTTCTTTCTGTCCTTGTGGGTTTAGGTCCTGGTTTTTCTTCGACAAATTCCGTCGGGTTCGTCACTTTATGGTATTCCTCGATGAGTTCCTCTGTGTCGGTTATCCCGCTAATGTCTATCGGTTGGTTTCCTGTTCCGTTAGGTGCTGGTGATGTGCTTCTTGCGTGTTTCTGAGCCAGTTCTAAAAGGCGTTTGATAGTTTCCTCGCTGTTGTTGGCGTTCTTTATAAAATCTGACATTTGTCTTCGCATGTCCTCGCACAGTGTTTCTGGTTTGACCACGAATTCTATTAGATAGGCTTCCAGTTGGGCTTTAATGGCATTGCTTATCCAGCCTCGAGTTAACTTGTCTGCCATTGTATTTTTTTGTGTTGTGTTGAGGAAGAGGGTTTCTATTTGAGGATACTGTCTTTTTGGGAGGCGGTATAGCTCGCCGTGGCCAGGGTTCGAGACAGAAATTTATTTTCTCTTTTGATCGGTTTACCTGCCTTTCCCCAAAGAATAACACGCTGCAGAGTATGGTTATATTTTAATAGTACGATTGATTAAGACTACGTTTTGTAACTATAATTATATCGAGCGTGATACTTCTTGATAAGTGGCATCGGCGCTGCCGAAGGGCCGAATGTGGTACTGCTTGTTGATATCGACGCTGCGGAAGGGTCGAGTATATTGCAGCTCGTTGAGTATCGCACTGCTTTGTGTGCGGGATCGGCGCTACGGAGGGGCCTATGTTGCACTGCTTGCTGCTGGCATTGCGCAATGGTATGAGGAACTGCTTGGCGTTGATGATGTGTGATGGTTGAGTGTACCGCTTGTTGTCGACGTTGTGCGGTAGCTAGGTGCACTGCTTGGAGTCGACGATGCGTTGTGGCTGGGTGCACTGCTTGATGTCGGCGCTTCGCAAGGGTCGATTGTGCACTGCTTGTCGGATTCGTAGTGTTCTGGATCGCTTTAGAGGAACGAACTACTTGGATTTTCTAGTGGGATGTGGGGCATCGTTATTTCGAGCTGCCGGACATCGTTAGTTTCGACCTGCCGTTTTATTCCGTATCGTTTCCGGGTCGGAAGCCGGAAACGTGACTTCTGATAGGAACTCACTGAGATGGGCCGGAGTTACGAAAGCCGTACCGGGCTCAGCGATCTCGACCGGTCCTGGGTGCGTATTTCTAAACCACACCGGGCGTCGGTGATTTTCACAAGGTCGTAGAGCCGAAATCAAACCGAACTCTTACGGATCCACCACTACCAAGACTAACTACCAGAACACTTACCCGGGTATTCCTCCTAGTTTTTGTCACTTGGAGTCATTGGAACGCAAGTGACTGGTCTGGGGCTGTGTTTCTGATTATATGAGCACTGCTTAGTGTGACCAGATCGGACGATGATGATAATCCCGCTTTGGGTGGTCGGGTTTATTGGGCGATGATTATCGGCAATCGATAACTTCGTCGAATAAATGTGACGGGGTGCTGTTGGTTTAGAGCGCGCGTTTGAATATTTGGCCGGCCAGTATTTGGTATGTTCTTTTAAGCTTTAATGTGAAAGTTGAATTTTGCATATTTGTGACGGTGGATCGTCACAGCCTCCCTTCCAAACTCTCGGAGTTTCTGGCGAGTCGCTATTGATGTGTGTGGTCTAGCGTTGTCCTGATGTAAAACAATTCATTTACTATTGGCCAAAGCGAGGGGCTTCTGGGCAATTGCTTCCTTCAGACGGTCCAATTGTTGACAGTACAAGGTAATTCCTTGTCAATTCCACAAAAATGTTGTTTGATGACTTAACAAAATTGATATTATACTATATATATTATTATTTATTGTTTATATAAGTATCTTGCTTTAATCTTTCTGATTTAAAACGGTATTCTGGAGTATAAATTTAAATAAGAAGCCTTATTGTTTTGTTTTTTTTTTTTTGCATTTTTCGAATGTTTAGTCTTTTAAAAATATTATCCCTTAAAGATTTTTCAAAATTCAAATTATTTTAGGAGATACAGCCGATTTTTTGACGTGGCGTCGGAGCCAATATAAATGTTTCCGTATCTTAAAACGTTTTTTTCTCAAAACTACTTTTTTTTAAATGGCTTATATGAGATTGACTGAATCGATTCCTTTAAAATTTTTTATATTTCTTATTTATACTACTTTTTTCTTCCACACTTTACAGGGTTGTATCTTGGCGAATATTAAGTTTTTTCTTCTCAAAACGTCAGTAAAAACCATATAAAAATATTGCAGTACAAAATGTTTTTCATTTCCTTTTTATTTTACTTGAAACTTTCTTCAGCAAGCCGAAGTCTTAATACCCTTTCAGACTTGTCGAAATTGCTAAACTTGCAAAAGTAGCGTGAGGAATAACAAAAGTGTAAAATAATCCCGAAGTCTTCCTTACACAAACGCCAAACAACAAATATGCTAAAAACTGTTTCGGGAGTCACCACACTCCCTCATCAGCGACCGTAGATCGGACAATTTTGTACATGTCAATAGTAGTGATCCTCTTTATTTTATATACAAACGTGTGAAATTTTAGTGGACTTTTCGTTATATTCTACGCCAAGGTCCAAGCCCTTGTATTAAATAAAGTCTTTTATTATTTACAGCTGGTTTAATAGCTTACGTACATACTAACGATATCAAAGGCAGGGTACGTATATTAAACTATTTTAAAGATGTATTTTATGTAATTTGTAGTATAATATTAATTTGATTAACGGTTAACTTTAATATTGTGCGCCAAGTTCCATGTCCTTGTTTTAAATTTGTACTCCAATATTAAATATTTTCTTATATGCTTCTCAACCTTTTAAATATATACATTGGTAAAGTTACATAATTTATATAGAGTTATGTTGCGCGCTTAAAATTTGCATTTCCTTTTTGACTAGTTCGTAAATTAAAAATAATTCCATTGAAGTCCGAAAGTTTCCGAATAATTGTTTCAAATTTCTACTCCAATATTCAATATAATCTTTTGTTATTTACTGCTGTTTTAACAGCTTACTTACCTTTTTACCATATTTAAGGCATAAAATAACTCCCACATATACGGGGATCCTTGCCCTTTTTAGAATATGTGGTGGTCTCTATTGCAAACCCATCATAACAACGCATTCAGCTTCTCTTCCTTGTCGTCCAAGTTGGCAAATGCCTCGATCGCATTATGTATGTCCTACTGAGCATTGTAGAGTTTAGAAAACTCACTCATGTTTATTAATTTTAATTAAATTCTTTTGGATTTGCCAAAATTGAAAAGTAAACAAACCCAGATAAGCTGTTCGTGCCACTCAAATGTCGGAGTAGCATTAGCCAATTGCTAATGCGCCAATGGAATCAGGCACATTTCAATAGTCCACTAATGCGGCAATGGAATCAGGCTATAAGACTTTATATAAGACAAAAAAATTTGCCATATGCATCGATTTTGTCGTAAGCTGCTTTAAAGCTGTCAGAATATATTGTTTTAGCTTACGACGTGGTTCCTTTTATAAATGAACTAATAGTTTTTCCGACCTTTTGGGATCCATATCTAACCGGAAAGTTTGCCGTACGTACGATTATATGCAGTGTATTCGCGCAGTTCACGCAGTCATCAAGTTTCGGTATGATTGATAAGGTTTTGGTGATTTGGCTAGCTGAAATTAGCTTTTTTTCTTGTTTAATTTAATTTACTTTCAAATTATTTATTACAATTTAAGATTAGACTCATGTGACATATGGGGCGTATTCAGATGGGTTTTTTTTACGATAGTTTTGCTGAACGCGTATGATCATTGATCATGATACAAAAATTATTCCATTATGATCAGCAAAAAGGAGCGTAAAATAGTACGCTACCTATTTTTGATACATACATAGCTGCTGGCCTATATCGATGGTGTAAATATCGATAAGAATAAATAGAAAAATCAGAATGCAAACATAATGTAGAAATAAAAAAATAAAAACAAACAAAACCAGAAAGGAAGCAAACTTCGGCAAGCCGAAGTTCATATACCCCTGCATATATTGCAAAAATTAAATATTCTTGAAGACATTAAAATTATGATTTACTTGCGTGTATGTTTAAAAGCATTGAATCTATGATGATTTGCAGCTCAATTATTTGATTTCTTATGGCAGCTATATGATACCGTTTTCCGATTTGAATAAAATTAAAAGCGTAATTCTGAACTGTCAAATAATGAAATAATCAAAAAAAATTTATAAAAAAATTACAACATAAAAAAGTTACATTTAAAAATTTTTTTTAATATTTATATTGTTTTTATGGGAGCTATATGATATAGTCTTCCGATTTTGATGAAATGTAAAACGTAATTCTGAAATAGTTTACCATTACAATATGTCGAAGAACTACAACAAAAAAAAATTAAGAAACAGCAATGTTATAATTTTTTCATTTATTTTTCCGATTGTTCCTATGGGAGCTATATGCTAAAATCGTCCGATTTTGATGAAATTTAAACCGTAATTCCGAAATATTTAACCATTACAATATGTTGAAGAACTAAAACAAAATTAAAAAACAGCAAAGTTATAATTTTTTTGTATTTATTTTTCCGATTGTTCCTATGGTAGCAATAGGCTTCCGACTTATATACTACCTGCAATAGAAAGACAACTTTTGGGAAAGTTTCATGCAGATAGCATTAAAACTGAGAGACTAGGTTGCGTAAAAAACGGACGGATAGACTACAAACGGACGGACAGACGGACATGGCTAGATCGTCTCTCCTAGTGACGCTGATCAAGGATATATATACTTTATAGGGTCGGAAATGCCTCCTTCACTGCGTTGCAACTTCTGATTGAAATGATAATATCCTCTGCAAGGGTATAAAATATTGGCACACAAGTCTTGGAGTCAGTAAAGAGTCAAGAAAAAAAAAACTAATTGCCAATCCAAAAAAAAGGATTAAATGAAATTTCTGTTGCCTTGCCTCAGTCTTATCAGTAACGAATTGGACACCAAGGAAGAAATGAAAAATTTTAGTGTATAGCAATTTGTTCGTAGCAAGCGTACCTATCTCCCAAAGAATTTTTCATTTACAAAAACAATTGTGCTCATTTTAAAGTTGAATGTTTGTTAGCTGAGTAACAGGTATCTGATAGTCGGGGAACTCAACCATAGCGTAGATTCTTGTTTTATTTTGTTTGTATAGTTTTTAAATTGTTGTGGAAGTATATACCCGCAATTGTTGTCTTCATTTTAAAAACTACAAAATATGGTTCAGTATAAAAATATTTACCATCATAATAATATTAAGTAATATATAGCTGTTCTTATAAACGAATGTAGTAATATCAAAAATCATATAAAAAAACTGTTCCAGCATTGAGGGCTCCGCATCAACCGATAAGTCATCGGTTTTCCCTTTCATAGGTTGGGTGTTTAAAAATATACCGTGGGGCTTAGGCTCTAAATTCATACGAATCGTATTGAACGTTAGCTCGTATTTTGAGCGGTTTATAAGGCTTAGCGTTGATGCAAAATATGCTAACATAACAGCAACAGGGTTTAGATACGAATCCAAATTTAGTTGATTGTTTAACTCCAGTATTTTTCCATTTTTATTTTCTTTAAAAAGACTAAGTAAGATTTCCATTCCCATAACTCTATTTAAAAGTTAAATAAATAAGAGTTATACGCGATCTTCAAATAATATATTTTACGGCTTAAGTTCTGATTGAGACACCTTTTCCTTATCCACATAGTATCTCGGATATACGACTGCTTTAATATTATTTATCCTATGTACTCACCTGCTCCATATTGTATTAATGTTAATTGATCTTTGCAAAACTGGTAATTGATAAGCAAATATACATGTAATATGTATCAAAAGTGCAACAACCATAAATATCAGAGGATAGTACATTCGCCTGTTATTAAATACTTATCATATTCAGAACTGATACAATAAAATGCAGTATATTCACCGGTTTAGTTGGCGATAAAGTGCCCAGTATGTTCCAGCTATGATAAACATTAAAAAATATAGACTTCCTGGTAAGGATGGCCTTAAAGAAGCAGCAAAGTAAAGCACGATGAGAGAAAATATAGGAGCTGGGGGAATATATTTAATAAAAATGCATACTTATTGCCTTATAATAATATTATAATACTTACATGTCTTTAGAACTGTTCGTATATAAATTATTATCAACAGTCGATTCATCTCCGCTATTTTTAAAGTATCTGATATTTCTTTATTTACTTTTATAAATCCGTCACCGTCATTTCGAAAAAGTTTCTTCTGCCGTTTATGGAAAATTTTGGAAAAAATTAAATAGATAATTGTTTCTAGAAGAATAAAGAAATCAGGAAGAGTCCAGTGCGCAATGGAACCAAAACTAAAATAAACAGTTAGTTTTTAATCAAAATATGCTTTAAATCAGGGGTGCTCACTTCTAAGCACAAATGCACAATGCTAAGGGATATTTAAGGGCTGACTGGGCACAAATTGCCAAACAAAAACAATTTTTCGTTTTGTAAATTGTGTGTTAGTAAATGCACTGCAATAAGGAAGTTTTAAGCACCCCTGCTTTAAAGTATTACCTCAGTCCTTTAAAGTACAGAAAACCAATTTGGCGTAAGATAAAAGCTAAAGATTTTTTAGAGCTTAAGTCAATAAAAAATAAGCCAATCAGATTAATTAAAAGGTGCCCGATAAGGCAAATCGTACTTAAGACACAAAGAAATATAATAAATACGTTTAAAAAGCTTCGCTGTCTTAAATTCTTGGTTTGTAGGAGCCACGGTGATAAAAAAAACATTATGAGATATATACAAGAAATACCAACAGGGCGCACCAATGAAACTAATGGTTAAAATAAGGACATAAATAATTATTAAGAATTGCTTATAAAATTCTTTAATTCTTACCAAAGATTAATGTCAGAGGCAAAAGAAAGCGTATTAATATGAACAACACCAGTTCTGCCATACTCTATTAGTCAATTAAATGGAAATTTCTGACAGCATAACAAAAGCAATCTCATAAATGAAGTTAGTATAGAACAAATTCATTACAGAGTTCCTTTGCCAAGGAAAGTATATTTTACATTTAAGGGCGCGGTAGGGTCTTAAACTTTTTTCTGAATGAACAATATGTTGAGAATATTATAATTTCAAGTCAATCCGAGCAAAACTAACGGAGTTACAGCGTTTCAAACGATTGTTCACGTATAAAATACTTTAAATCGATTTTCCCGAAAACGTATTTTTTGATGTTCGTAAACAAAAGAACTCAAAATCTTCTGAGTCGGTTCTTTTAAATAAAATAAATAAATTTTATACCGCAAAAAAACATAATAAAAAACATAAAAGTTAGCTTTTTTAATATATTGCTAAGTTTATTCTGTGGCGATCCTTTCTTTATTTTATTAACTTTAGTTTGTAAATGTTAGTTTATTAATGAAATTAAATAATATTTAATTATATATATAAAAAAAACACCTCTTGACGAGGTAAAAAAGGCGTGAAGATCGAACCTTCAACATACAAAATTTCTTATGTATATCAATTTTCATAACGTAAATTAATTAAGCATTCGTCTTAATTTATTCACATATAAAATGTTCACATTCGGCCCATTTTATCCAGGTATTTGAATTTTTGCCTATCACGGCGTGCCGAATTGAAAAATGTTAAAGGTGTATCCATTAAGTTTTATTCTTAATAAAGTTAAAATCAAAAATGTTGTATTTTGAAGGTGCGATTATCAACATGGTTGTTCTACTCCGCTAAGAGTTAATTTCGTTTGATATTAAGTTTTAGTTTTAAATAAAGTCCAACTATATCAATATTATCAACAGTAATTAAAAAAAACCGATCGAATAAACCTTTTAGTTTTTATATCAACACGGTCATTTTTTTTCAGCGCGACGAAAATGAAAATTTAAAAAAATGTTCTTATTTAGTCGAATACTTAATAATTTTTCTTCACAATTTTTGATATCACAAATTTGAAATAATAAATTTTCCGGGTTGAAAATGAGACTGTCACAATTTTTTTACCTGGTTAAGAAATATATTTTTTGGATATACGAAATTTTTTTAACACTGTTATTGTAACCCAATACCATGTCCCGGAGACGGCGCCATATGACTTTGGTATTGAAAAAGTAAAGCCGAAAGCTTGAATTCAGGCAATGTAACCTCATTACCAGTCGGCACCCTTGGAGAGGCTTAATTCTTTAATGTATAGTATTGATTTAATAATTCTGAATAACGGTTTTATTTTATTTAGATCGGACGACTGTATCATATAGCTCCTATAAGAACAAAAAAAAAAAATAATTAACAGCAATTATAACTTTGCTGTTTTAAAATTAAATTAAAATATGTTTAATAATATAGTAACGGTTTACTATTTCTATCTTACCGTTTTTGTTATTAAAATCTGACAACTACCCTAGGATCGATTGACTAATTAAACGAAAAATCATTATTCACTCTTATTGATCAAATAGAGAATATTTAATTTTTGCGATAGCTTCAAGGACTTATATAATTCCGCATGCCGAAGCTTGCTTCCTTTATTGCCAAACTGATAATTCATACTTCTCAACGAAATTTTCTACCCAGACAGCGTAAGATTCTCTGAACTAAGAAAAGCTGCCGTTTTTGTTGCTTAATAACTTTTGAAACCGATTTATATAGCAATTATAGACCAAATTTGCTTTAGTCAGCGTAATTAGCATTTGACAGTACCTTCGGCAAACGGAAGTTTGCATACCCTTGCAGCTATAAAACAATTAAATACTCTTGAAAACATTAAAATTATCATTTACTTGCGTATATGTTTAAAACGTTGAAGCTATTTTCATTTGCAGCTCAATTCTTCGATAGTTCCTATGGCAGCTTTATGATATCGTTTTCCGATTTTAAGAAAACTCAAAGCGTAATTCCGAAGTGTCAAATTATTAATAAGTCAAAAAGAATTTAAAAAAATTGTTTTTCTTTATTTTTATTGCTTCCATGGGAGCTATATGATATATTCGTCCGATTTTCATGAAACTTAAAGCGTAATTTTGAAGCATTTAACCATTTCTACTTGTCGAAGAACTTTAAAAAAATTTTAGAACAGCAAGATAGAATATTTTTTTACTAATTTTTCCGATTGCTCCTATAGGAGCTATATGCTATAGTCCTCCCATCCAACTTATGTACTACCTGCAATAGAAAGACAATTTTTGTGAACGTTTTATGCAGATAGCTTTAAAACTGAGAGACTAGTTTGCGTAGAAGGAAATGGACGGACAGACGGAGATGGCTAGATCGACTCTCCTAGTGATGCTGATCAAGAATATATATACTTCATAGTGCGTTGGAAACTTCTGACAGAAATTATAATACCCTCTGCAAGGGCATAAAAATCAGTTGAGGTCCGCGGCTGATATTGCGGTAAACATTTTTTATTTATCTTAACAAATTTGCTATAATATGTATTGAGGTACTGAAATATTTGTATTCAATTTTGTTTTCAAGTTAAAGCTTGAAACCACTAATTTGAATTTCATGTTCTTTTCCCCAATATGTCAATAAAGTATAAATAATTTCACTGCAAATGAAAGAAAAGTTAATTCCACCGCACATGCAAAATAAAAGATTATTCTTGTTACATGTTTATGCTACAACATATCAGTCATCATCCAGTTTTCATTGTGATCGGTTGTTTTTCACTATGCACCGAATGCAATTTCGAGGCTACTGCTCCGCAGCTACGTATCTTCGAGGCGGTCCGTTGTTCGTCGGTCTGTCGCAGCACATTTCACATAGACTGTGTTGATCTACGCAAAGAGGCAATTAAATTACTAATCAATATGCCGAACCTTCTCTGGCAATGCGACGGTTGTGTTGTGAGTAACGATTCTCACTCTAAAATCGGAGAACTTATGGAAGAGATTCGGGAGCTAAGAAATCTATACATGGACTTAAATTCAAAGTTTAATATTGCTTTTCCCGTTCCTGCTATTGGCAAAAATAATGCCAGTCAGCGCAATAAAATGGTGAAACCTGCAGCACCAACACCTTCTACTTCCCATCAAGCGAACCAGGCTTCATCCCATCATGCTAAGCAAGCTGTTCTGGTATCCATCCATCCAAATCCAAATACTATCAATCTATGTTTTGCGCTGAATTTTGGCCAGAAGCAGTAAAAGTCAGCAGATTCATCCACAGGAACAGACCAATTGTTGAGAAAACAATTCTTGAGTTGCACACTGATCATACTCCTAATTCATCAGCACCCAATTCAGATCCAAAAAACCCCCAGGAATTGGCGCCACTGGCGTCATCACCGTTGCGGGGCAATTCGGCGATCTTCTTTCTCACCTACCGGGCTTGTGCTCGCAACAACAAAGGCTGGGCTTGCCTATTGCCTTTATTCTCCCAAATTTTAAATTCTTTGCGCTCTATCCACTGACAAATATCCAACAACACCAGCTGCAGTTCGTTTTCTTCGACCCTCGCCAAACATCGGGTTCCATTCCTATTACGGATTGCGTGCTCTTCCGAGACGTGCTCTATTATTTTCATATGCTCACGACAGCCCCACAAAATTCTCGGCTTCAGCTTTCAACGTCCGCTTTGAGCGAGGCTCTCCTAAGTCATAGTCTTAATGTCAATGCTCTTTGTCCGCTCTCCGGATTCGAGCTCTCTGCAATGATGCTACAACTACAACACTATCTGGAATTTTTACCGCCCGCTTTGTATAGCTGTTCTGGATTTGATGAGACTCTGAAAGTGCGTTTGGGAGTTGAGCTCTCTGCTAAACTTTCTGTTCAGCTGATGGATGAACAACAACATCGCCCGCTTTTATCGCTACGTTCTCTTAAAGTTGCTCTCTTGGAAGTGGCCGCTTACAGCTTAGAGCCATCGCTCTTAAATTCTGGCTTCTCTTTTTTCGAAAAATCTAATATATTTTGCGAATGTAGCGCACTTAATTCTGAAGATAAGCATGGATCAAAGTTATGTCGTTACTAAGGACGATCAGCGGAATAAAAACATTAGGATCGGTAGGTGCTGTTACTCCGCATGCACTGGAATACATTAGCATAAACAACACGAATCAGCTGGTGGCGACCCCGAGGACTTATAATCATTCCATTTTAAGCACATCCCCACTTAAAATCTATTTCCAAAATATCTCTGGAATGCGGACAAAAGCGGAACAAGTATATCTTGCTACATCCCAAGGCAACTTTGATGTCATAGTCCTAGTTGAAACCTGGCTCAACATGAACTTTTACACTAACGAGTACTTCGATTTCAACTTGCATCAAGTCTATCGCAAGGACAGAGATGGTACAAAAACACAATGCGCTAGAGGAGGAGTCGTTTGTGGCTGTTCGTCGCAGCTTGAGATGTTTATCTAGAAGACCACTTCTCAATGAAGACACCCTTCTGGATCAAGTGGCTGTTTCTGTTATTGGACCAGTGAATACCCTACTTATTGTGGCGTCTTACCGCCAAAGAGTACATATTCTGGCCCATCTGGAGAACGTGACCAATATCTATGATAATCTACTGGACCCACAGCATCTCTGCTTTATTGGTGATTTAAACCTGTCAGCCCTTACATGGGCGAAGAACCCTGACGCTCATTCCTTACTGCCAAGTAACTTGCATCAGCCACATGAGGTTCTTTTCATCGACGATCTATTCAGTATGGTTTTAATACAAGTTAATAATGTATTCAATGATTTGTATAAGCTCTAAGATTTAGTATTTCTTAGTCTCGATATAAATTTTTCCTTAATTGAATGTATTTTCCCTATCGCAATCATAGGCCATTGCTACTAAAAGTACACTTTTATAGTTTTGCGCCTTCAGCGGATAATTTTTCCAAGTTCATTTTCACTGAAAGCTGCCTTCGTTCTATCAGAAGCGATATTTCCTCAGTTGACTGGCAATCAATTCATTCGCATGTTAGTTTGAAGT